CTCTGAAATCAAAGAGACCTTTCTGTTCTCAGAGCAGCAACTTCTTGTACCTGGAAGGTCAGAGCCACTATCATACCAGTTTCACTTGAAGCCAATTTGTTTCAAAAGACTCTTTTGAGAGGCTCATTGAATTTCTCATCCATGCAAGTGTGTGGTTGTGAGCCACATTAATAGCACCTGAGCTAAGATCATGCAATTCAATTTACAAGTATTTATTGTCTGTTGAACAAGACACTGTGCTAACGGGGCCTTGGTCAGAGGCTTTCTTAGGCCCAGCAGCAGTATTCAGGAACTGGTGTGGGGGTGGGAAGTGACTAGGGCAGTCTACCAAGGGTTCAAGTGCATGCATTCTCACCTAATAGACAAGTGAGGCCCTTTCCTCTTTGCGGCAGTATCCATAGAGACTGTTCTTTCCAGTCTGCAGCAGGCTTCCTTTGAAGTTCCTGCCCAATCATCTTCTTTCTTCTGGGTACTAGTCCCTAACAAAAGCTCCCAAGGAAAGGGTCAACCCACAATGTGATGCTTATAGGACAAGACCCTGCCTCCCTGCTTACCACTGATTGGATGGGTTCATCCAGTAGTAGATGAACTGGGCCAATCAGAAACCCCCAGTGATTGCCTAAGGGGACACAGAAATGTTAGTTAGAAAGTGGTAAGTGCTGAGAGGGAAGGGTTGTGTGGAGTGGTCATGGAGTGGGTTTTCAGCAATATGTGCACTAGTGAGTAAGCTAGCTGGCCAAGGGAAACAAGCAGACTGAACAGATACACAGAAGCAGCGATGAAAGTCCACAAAGAGAGGAAGAGAACATAAGAGAGCAAGAGTGCATGCATGAGGGAGACTGCCTACATCCTTTGACCTTTGGGCAGATATCCATTATATCTATGAAATGTCCCAGTGTTCATCCAGTCAAGGCATACACTGGAGCAAGTGTGAGTGGGTTTCTAGTCCGTGTGAAGAATTATGACTTAATACCTTTAAGAGTGGACTAACTGGTAAAATTTAACTTTTAACACTTGCACCCTAGCCAGTCATTACTCCAAGCTAAATTATAATCATTCTATAAGAATCTTGGGCTATATTTTGTAAGGAGAGTTCAAATTGATTTCTGAAGTGTGGTAGGAATTTAGAGTTCATTCAAATCATCTTTGCAAACCTTAAAAATAATACTTGTTATGTATTCATTCAACTTTGAGCTCCAAGCTCATTTATATATAATCAATATTTAATTTAATTTTTGATCTATTTTGGCCTAGTAGAAAAGCATTTTTTGTTAGTACTTAAAATTTAATTCCTTACCTTTTTAATCTCATATACTCTCTCAGAAGCTTTTCTTCTTAAAATCACAGACCTAACATTTTTCTTTTTGTCTTTTCCTTTCCTTTCTTTCTCTTCCCTTTCTTCTTCTTCTTCTTTTTTTTTATTTTAGCGAGTGCCAGTACTGGAACTTGAACTCAAGGCCTAGGCACCATCCCTTAGCTTTCCTCCTTAAGGCTGGCCCTGTCACTTGAACCACACCTCCACTATCAGCTTTTTGGTGGTTAATTGGAGATGAGTCTCATAGATTTTCCCGCCCAGGTTGACTTCAAACCATAGTCCTCAGATGTCAACCTCCCAAGTGGCTAGAATTATAGGTATGGCACCTGGTTCTTTTTTCCTATGAAGATCACTCAAGATATTACAGGCCCTTTTGTGGGCTCTTAAAATAACAAATGCACAATATTACTTCTCCTAGGACTAGAGAATTCATTCTTACAAAATCCATTGTTTAAGAGGCAACTTCTTGTTCCATGGGTAATAATCACCACCTTGTTATGGACTAGGCCTCAGATCACAGGAACCAGGCCACACAATAGACCTTCACGTTCCTGCAGTGCTGGCTTGCCTTCTCTGATGCAGGGCCTGGCACCTGCTACCTCACAAGGACAAGCCATCCGAGCATTTCTGTCTGCCCGTCTGGACTCATGTTGCTGAGAGAGAAACTCACTCCTATAGCCCTAAATAGCAACGAAGGTCACCATCTCCACCGTGGTGCTTTCTGGAAAAAGCCAAAATGCATTTCTTTTCCAAGAATGAAGAAAACTCTTATGGCAACCAGTGCTGAAAAAGGTGTTTATTAGGCCACAAAAGCATCACCCTCTGTACACTGTATCTGAATTTGGGTACACACTCTAATCATCTTTTTCTTGGCAAGAACAGTATGGAGTCTCTCATTTGACCCTTGTTTATTATTTAAACTTCCGGGCACATTTAAAGAAATGGATCAGAAAGTATACGGGCAGCATGATGAAATGGATCATGAATTAGAAGGCTTGAGCTCAGACCTGGTCACCTCCACTTCTCTGGGCTTCTGTGTCTTCTTCCAAGGTCACTGACATCCATTATGGCATCTACGGTTGAAATGGAATTCATTGCTGCCCCTCTGGTGGCCCTTATGGAATCCTCTCTTCACTTCCATGAAGTGTTTTGTTTTGTTTTTTAACCATCTGTGTTTCTCCAAGTCACTTGTTCAGGTATCCATCACCTCCACGAGGTTAAGAGACTCTTGAAGGAAGGACTACATTTTAGTCCCAGAACAACTGAACAATGGCGCCTGTCTTCCCGTTAGTGGGAAAACATAGGATTAATTTCTTCTCCACAGAAGGCTTTCCTCTCACAGACCTTTTCTTAAACTCACAGTCTATGATTTAACCTGTTATATTTTCAATTTCTCAGTGAACTAAATTTCTGGAGTCTGCAGTGACTACAGTGATTCACAGAGGCTCCAACCTCTTCGCCATCTGGAGATTCACCACTGCCAACTATGGACTCATGGGCTGGAAACCACTTGCACATCCAAAGCTTAGACACCATCTTTTGAAACCTGAACATCTATTTCAATGGCTCTAAGTCTTGAAACTTCATTTTCACATGCAGCACCTTGAGGCATTTACCAAGTAGACAAAGTACTGGGTTGATAGCATTGCATTAATGAAGTATTGAGATTACTGATAAAGCAGGAAAATGTAACTGACTTTGTCACACTCACACCATTTGCATGAGAAGGCTGAGTTTCTTTGGCTCTTTGTTCATTCAAGGGCATGGAATACCTATTTGGACAGACTTAGGCATTGTGTTCATCTGTTGATAAAATCTTGCACCAGCCACAGTGCTCTGCAAGCTGATTTAGGTTTTGGACTACGACAACTGGCCACTGGTAGAAATATACCATATATACACATGGAAATTACAAAAATACATTTTATTTATAGTTGATTTCTTTTGAAAGTAACAAAAAACTAACACTATGAAAGATCAACCAGCATACTAAAAGACACTACCTAGTTATCATCCAAACAAGAGATGTGTTTGGAGATTCCATGACACATCGTTGCTGAACATTCCAGAAAGGACAATTTGCCATTGGGAATTAAAAAGAGCTTCTTGGGAAAAGTCTGTGCTTTGACAGTTTGAGTCTCCCATACTAATCAGTTCCCACTCTCCTCTCAACTTGTAAATTTTCACCTTCATCTTCTCTTTCAGTAAAGACCAAAGAAACTCATGAGGACAGTAGACAGATGGGCTCAGAAGAGAATGGGTAGAGCTGAAGCTAGATGGGGCATGGGTGAAGGCAGGACAGGACCCTGTTCTTCAACAGACACCAAAGAAGCCCCTCACACCATACTTAGCTCCCATAGTTGGGGAAGGAACTATAGGTGCCCCCCACCCTTTGCTACGCAAAGTCAGTGACGGTTTCATTGCATCAATAGGCAGTCAGTGCCTGGTACCCCCACATTCTGCAGGAGGATACCCATGCCAGGGAGGGTAACATGGGACCTCTCAGCCACCAGGTAGTAGACCTGCCATTTCAGCACAAGTCCTCCTGAGTCCATCAACTGACAAACTCCATATAAGCATTGCTTAAAAAGTTATTTACATTTAAATTCAAATCAACAGATTTTCTACATTCAGAAGCTTCTAGAAACAGAGGCTGCAGCCAGGGAGGCCTATGGGTCCTCCATTCCTGTTTTTGTCTTTGTTTTCCTTTTTAAAACAGGAATCAAACACTTTCCTTTTGTATCCCTGGGCAGCACATGCTGGTCACCATGGTTGAAGAGACAGGTTGTCTTGTGATAGTCAATATATCTATTATCCCCTCCAAAGGGATCAGCTCCGATTTAGGCCATCTTCAATGCAGACAAAGAAAAACCTTTACAAATAACAAATTTTCGTTTGTAGGATCCTAAAAGCTCTTAACCTTGATTCTGTTTCAGTTGAGTTCTAACTTGTAAGATACTCTTATTTCCAAAATTACACCACCTTTTAAAAAGTCTGTCAACACAAATTTACCATTCCTGTTCATCTTCTCTCTTTCTTAGCCTTCAATTAATGGGAGGAAAAGAGTCAAGACTATTTATAGGCATAACCATTGGGTCTGATTTTCATCCAATTCATTTGACTTTGAATATGAGCCGTTAAAAGCAAAGGGATTCAAGTTTCTTGGCCAGAGTCAGTGTCTCCCTTAGAGACTAGAGATGATTTTAGCATTCATGGGCATGGCTGAATGAGAGAGAGGACAATCTGGTGCTCAATTTATACTCCTGCATTGCCTTTAACACAGAAAATATTGACATGCAGAGGTCAGCAAAGATAAAGCTATATTCTCCCCCATCTGGTGATTCATTAAAATGTGATATTGGACAAGAATCTGTACGTTAGCTAGTACCTCTCAGAGCTAAGTCTCCTTAGGGAAAACCACTCCCAGTTCCAACACTCACAACAAAATATCAAACATATGGTCCCAAGCAGGGACTTCTTAACCCATAAGCAGTTGTGTTAGCCAAAAGATGCAGTTGTTCATGAGTTTCTTCTTGTTTCCCAGAAGTCCTGCTGGTCATCCTTTTAGAAACAGGGAGAGGAAGACTCACTTGTTGTCTCTTTCAAGACCCCACACATCGGGTGTGAGAAACCCAAAGCCTATTTCCACAGAGTGTGGAAGGCAAGGTCTCCCAGGGCTCAGGCATTAGACCTGGAACTCAAACATGTCTGTCTGCTTCTTGGCCAGCTTGGCCACCTCCTCCCGGATGGCCTTCACGAGGGCTGCAGTAGAGATGTTGGTCAGTGGAGTGTCGGGGGGGTCATTCTCTGCTAGGCTCTGCTGAGAGGCAGCTGTGGAGGGCACAGGGACCTGCTCCAGGCTAGGGTGCAGGTTGGAAGGATGGCTGTATTGGCGAGGGAGCCTGGAAGGTGAGCTCTGCTGATAACGAGACCGGGGGTAAGCCTCAATGTATCCAGGGAGGGGTACCTGAAGAGGATGTTGGGAGAAAAGAGAAGAGTCTGGGTTTAGGAAGAAGCTCAAGTCCCAGAACACAGTTGACTACGCACATGACAAAAACAGTAAGGCGGTAATTGATTAATTAATTAATTAATTGATTGATTAATTAATCCCATTTATGAGGGCCTCACTCTTAGAACCAATCACCTCCTAACAGTCTTACTTCCTAGTACCAGTACCTTGGCATACATAACAGGATTCAACAAATGAATCAGCTTTTGGGTGGAAACACAAAAACATTTGGACCAGCAATAGGGCTGTGTGATTTAGTAATTTTTGGATGGGAGAATATATGGTAGAGAATCAGCTCCTCCTATCCCTGCCAGATGTTCTGATGTTCTCCCAGAAGGAGGCTGATTTCGGAGAACAAGGCTAACCCCTGAGCTGACAACCACTGCTGGGTGTCAGGCAGAGGAGGAGTCTGTCTTAGCATGGATGTTCTGGGTGGTGGGGATAGATCAACGGGAAGTATGGAGGAGGGTGAGTTCTAAGGCTACCACTGTGGTCCAAATAGGAGCTTATAAGGACTCAAGCAAGAGAGAAAGGGACTAGATAGATGTCCTAAAGTTTGAGTTTGGGAACAGCTGCTAATGTTGGGTCTTCTGGCTATGAAAGGACAAGTAAATCAGAGCTGAACTGTCTAAGTCCTTAGGTCACAAGAGCTACGAACACAGAGTAAATGGAGTAGATGAAAAATCAAGGCCAGGACCCAGGACACACTTTCAGAACTCAGCTGAAATGTCCTTATTTCCATGGGCTTTTTCCAGCCTGACATTAGCCTAAGGGTCCTTATGAAGTGCTTCCATGTAGTTTCTATAGTGTGACGGTCAGCCCCCACCACCCCCCTTGCCTTAGTGAAGGAGGATGTCTTACTTGCTTACTGTTGTGCATGAGTGCTTAGGATTCTGCCCCGAACATGTCAGGGTGTCTCTCAAAGCCCAGGCTTCTGAGGAGCACAGTTTGGAACAGCAGGTATCAAACCTTTGAGAAGAATGCTGCCACATCCCCCACCTTGCATTTCAGATTCAGCTAGCTGCACAAACTGGACTTAAAAGTCAATTTCCAACTCTTGAGATCTCTCTTTCTCTTGGAAGCATCAACTTTTGGTGCTAATGGCTAGAACAGATAAGGGATGGCTGACCCCTATGGGGTGCCTTCAGGGTAATGTTCATAAGCAAGGAAGAGTGGATGATAACCTGCTTTTCTTTTATAGTAGATATAGGGTAGCACCACCAGGCCATTCAAAATTTATTGAAAATTACCACTTCTTCCTCAGCCAGTACCCATGGCAGACATCACCAATTGATTGCTGCGATCTTCAGTTGAGTCTGGAAATCTAACACTCAATCATTCTCCATCTAACCCCAAAGATGAAATCTGTTGTTAATCCCAGGTCCATGCAATCATATTTATGGTAGCTTTTAGTATCAGAAAGGTCAGACATCCATATGAAGGACGGAGCCTTGTCTTTCTCATATCATTATGGAAGTTGTAGATTATCCCTGGACTAATGCTGACAACTTGTCTCTCTGAGATACCTGCATTGTTTCTCACATGCTGTCAATCATGCATCTTGCCTAGCTTGCTCAAAGCCTGGGTAAACATCTCTGGCTTAGCTTCAGGGTAACTGGGAACCAAGAAGAATCTAGTTAGACCACACCAATCTTCCTCATCATTAAAAACCATCAGCAGGAAACTCATTATCTTCTCAACGATGGAGAGGATTCCAGGATGTCCAGTTATCTTGCCAGAAAAGTTAGGTTTTCATTTGCTGGGCTCCTTCTCCTTTGTGTCTTAGGTGATATGAACCCCAAGGCCTCTGGCTGTAGCCACCAGCCCAGCTGAGTTAGCATTGATGAGTGTCTGAAGACGAGGGTCAGGATTTGGAAAATACTTCCACTGACTCCCACAGAGCACAAGGTGTAACACTGCACATGGTGGGTGAGCTGTCAAAGTCAAGGGCTTGTTGCCTCCTTAGTGCATCTAACATCCTCTCCTTTCTGAAATGTATACACCCTAGTTTTAGACTTGAAGATTTTCATGGAGTCAAATGATCAAACCATGTCCAAAGACACCAGCTATTTAGAAAAGCCAATAATACAAAGAAACAAAAAGGGGAGAGAAAGAAAACAAAAGAATAAAGAGAGAGAGAGAGAAAAGAAAGAAAAAAGGAAAGAAAGAAAAACATAAGCCATAAAGTCGCACAGTAATTCACACAGCCTTAACGGCAGGCAATCACTCTAATTCCTCTCTTAGAGCTTATTAACTCTAACTTTACACACAACTCCAGTGAGCTCAGACATGCTGCATTTGAAGATAATAGCACAGCATATTAGGAAAAGCATGTTTAAGGATATGTGTATTACTGGAAGTGGGGACACTGCTGGCGATAGGAAGTGCCCGAGAGGAGCAGGGTCAGGCAAAGGAAAGCCATGCTGAGCCACGGTAATGAGTCCAACAATTATATTAGTGTGGATATAGTCAACCTAAGGGCCCTGAAGACCATTAGGGCTCTTCCTCCAAGCGCCATTTTAGTACAGTGAGGTATTCATTATGATGATGCTGAATCACTCATATAAGACAAATTAAATTATGTGGTGCCTTCTTTTAAAGAAGGAACATTCACTTCAGAAATGTTTTTATGCAAATGGCATATAATTTCAAATATTTCAGAAATGAAAGGAGTAAGCTTTGTAGAATTATTCCATGCTGTCATGTAGATAGAGTTGTCTGCTGGGCAGTGGCTCAGGTCATGATTCCTAGCTACTTGGGAGGTTAAGATTTGAGGATGGGGAGTATGAAGCCAGCCTGGGCAGACAAATATGAAAGATTCTTATCTCCAATTAACGAGCAAAAAGCCAGAAGTGGAGATGTGTCTTGACTGGTAGAGTGACAACCTTGAAAAAAAAAGCTGGGAGCATAAAGCCCTGAGTTCAAACCCCAATACTGACAAAGAAGAAACTTAAAAATAAATGACATCACTCCAAGGAAAACAGACGTGATGCTGAGTTGAGGCTGTAGGGTGCTGAGTATAGACCCCAGAGGTTGAAACACAGAAAGGAATGACCTTGACCAGAGTCTAAGTGTTTCCTAACTCTAGGATTTCATCCACATCCTAAGAATATCACCCCACATGACCGAATAACCAGGAGTCCCCCAGGCCTAACCTGGGGCACAGCCACCTTTGTCATCCCTCATGGGTGCTGTCATTAAGGGAGCAGTCAAGCCACCAGCACCCATTTTCTGTATTTCCTCACACAAAGGCAGGTTTGAGTTTGGGTGACAAGCTAGGTAGGAGCAGACAGGCTAGTCACCCCTTCCAGTAATGAAGAGAGACACCAAAGACCAGGCCGGGCCAGTCTATGACTGGAAGGTAGACAGGAAGTCACAGGACCTAAAGGTAATAAAACTTCCATCTTGGGCTTTCTAAAGCTTCATTTGCTGCCTTTTGTTTTACAACTGTATAGAATACCAGTGTCAATGGCTCACACCTACAATCCTAGTAACTCCAGAGGCTGAGATATGATGATTGTGGTTTGAAGCCAGATCATATAGATCAAATCCAAGAGACTCTGATCTCCAATTAAACACCCAAAACCAGAAGTGGAGCTTTGGCTCAAGTGGTAGAATGCTTGCCTTGAGCATAAAATCTAGCAGACACTGCAATGAGTAAACAGTTCCAGTACCAATGTGTATGCGCATGCACGCACATGCATATGCACATGCACATATTATAGACTATGACAGATAAAATAATTAATTCAATGAACAAGGAATGAGGCAGGTATGGGTTTGAATTCTGATCCTGGCACCTTACTGGCCATGTGGCCTTAGACAAATTACATTGTATGACTGGGCCTCAGTTCTATCACCGGCAAAATGAATTAATCATGAGAATCATAATCCTACCTGCTAGGATTTGTCATGAACATGAAATCAGATAATGAAACATCTAACATGGTACCTGGCACATAGAAATATTCAACAAACAATGGTAGTTATTCTTATTCTTATTATTTTACATGCACACAATTAAGGTTGCCTTGCTAGGAAGAGTGGAGTCTGTACTGGGTGATGAGGCTCAAGTTCCTTTGTCAGAGGACACCCTGTCTTCACACACAGTCTCCCTGCAAAAGTCTGACTGTAGCCACTTGGTGAGTGGGGGTGGTCACTCTGTTTCAGCTATTGATTCCATTCCCCAACCCCTGGGAAAGGTGACCATGTAAATGAGCAAGGGTCTCACCGAATCCGCCCACTGGGTGGGGAGCTCATTCTCTCCAGCGTAGGACATCCAGGCCTGGCTCCTGTAGGACGAGGGAGGCGTTGGGATGAAGTAGCCAGTGAAGCCGGGTCTGTTGGCAGCTGGGATGGCAAACACTGCTGGCACCGTGTTACCTGGCAGGTAGGGCAGGGAGGAGATGGCGGTGGAGGGAGATCAAGAGAAGGTAGCTTTAAGATCCAGCCTCCGAAGAGCCAAATAAAGCCTATTTCACAGGCAGCTAGGATGTCAGCAGGATTCCGTAAATCAGGTTTGAGTTACTCTGGCTACTGGTGGCTCATGCCTGTAATCCTAGCTACTCAGAAGGCTGAGATCTGAGGATCATGGTTTTGAAGCCAGCCTGCTCAGGAAAGTCCGTGAGACTCTTATCTCTAATAAACTACATAGAAAAAGCCAGAAGAGGGGCTGTGGCTCAGTGGTAGAACACTAGCTTTGAGCAAAAAGAAGCTTAGGGACAGCACCTAGGCTCTTAGTTCAAGCCCCAGGACTAGCACACACACACACACACACACACACACACACACA